GCAGGCAAAGACATGAAAATCTCTCAGGCATTTCATGACTCTGCATAAACAGGAGCCCCAAGGAAGTGGCTTTTCTGTTGTTTAACATAGTTCAGAACGATCTAGTGACTTCTTTGAGCCTTTGTATGCTCTCTTGTGAAAGCGGGAGAAAGACCTCTGCTCAGAGTCTCCAAGGTCTTACAGGACTGCTAAGATACTCAAATTCGGTGCTCCTCCCATACCTGGGGCACAGGGAGTGGAGACTGCAGAGTCCGAATCCCAATCTCATTATTTTTCTGCAAGGGCTGTGTGACCTTGGGCGAGTTACTAGCGTCTCTGAGACGCGTTGTATCAACTCAAAAGGGGGCGGGGGAGCACCCGACGCCAGGCTCAGGTTCCAGCCACCTAGTGCCCCCTGGCGGCGCTGCGTGCTTTTCAGGCGCCACGGGAGCCCCCCCTCGCAGGAGCGCGCGGTCGGGGAGCCGGGAGCCGCGAGCCGCGAGCCGCGAGCCGCGCACCGGGCATGCGCGGCCGGTAGAGCCCCTCGAGGCAGCCTCGACGCCGCCCCGGGCCAGCCAGCGAGGGCCGGAGCTGTAGTACCGCCGGGGGCCGGTGGCGTCGCTGCGCGGCCGGCCCTGGGGGTCCGGCGCTTGTAGAACTCTACCCGGCGCAGGCGGCTCTGTGCTCACCCGGCGGTTGGCCTGGTAACCTGGGCGTCCCAGCCCGGGGGTGGGGGTCGGGGGGCGATCCCGCTCCTTTGGGGGAGGGGCGGGGCCTGGACTCGCCGAGCTGGCGAGATAACGGGGGACTCCGAGCCTAGTGGCGTGCGCTCTCGCGACCGGCGTTTGCAAAGTTGCCATTTACCCAAAGGCCAGATGCCTGCCTGGGGATCCCGAGGGTGGGGCCGAAGGAGTCCCTGATGATTGACAGCCTCCCACTCTTCGCATTTTCTTAGACTTGCAAGTAAATGGGAGCCGCCGCCTCTGGGCTGTGAGTCCCACCAGGGCATGTGTTCGTGACATGGCTCTTTTGTTCATCACTGACGCACCAGTCTGGGACAGGCCCGGCTTGCAGGACTGCTCAGCGTCCCTTGCCTAGACCAGGGGTAGCCGAAGCCTGATGGGGACAGCACGTCCCCAAAAAAGTTCCCCAGGGAGGTACAAAAGGGAGGACAAAAAGGGAGAGGAGCGCTAGCAACGTTCAAAGCAATTGGACACAGCTTCGGCATCCCAGCTGGGGATCCTTGGAACAAGGTAGGGGAATGTAGGTGGGGTGTACTCTAATTCAAGTCGCTCATGGCTCGGGCTGCGTTCTGGCCGCTTGCAGTGGACGCCTGGGTGTTCCTGAAGGATGGGGGCGGGGCGCGGGGGAAGACCTGGTCGTTCACCGCAGATAGTTCTAGGCTGCTGGGATAGCCTTCTGTCTCACCTCCCTGCTTGCACTCTCATCCAGGCTGAGGCAGCCAGAGTGCTCCTTCCACAAAGCAAGTGGGACGGAGCCACTCCCCAGCAGAAGGGTCCTCGCAGGACCCTCCAATGCCGTCTGACTTGACCTCCCGCAGCGTCTCTTCCTCGCCCCTCCTCACTCCTGTGTTCTGCCACACTGGCGACCTCTGCAGCGCTGAGGCACCGGGTTTCTCTTGTCCCAGGACCCTTGCACATGTTCCCTCTGTCGGGGACATCGCTCATCTTTCTCCTCTCAATTCAAAAACCACCTTCTTAGGGGCCTTTCTAACCCTTTAATCTCCCATGGTCATCACCTCCCCTCGCTCTAGCGCATTCCTGTGTTTTGTTCTTTGTAACAAACTGAAATCATACTTGGGTCTTCTCATTCTCCCACAGGACAAAAGAAGTTATTGGCTTGTCTTGTTCGCATTTATATTCCCAGCGCTGGAGGAGAGGGCCTGGCCCTCAATAGACACCCATGCCCCTTGAGTTTCTATCTTGGTTTGAGTCACCACAGCAGGAAAGCAGACTTGGAATCCCCAGCTGCGCATATTGGCACTTAACTCTTTGTGTACACTTTCATGTCTAAATGTTCTCATCTGGGAAATGATGAGGATAGTAATAGTATCTGAAAATGAGATGAACAGACTTTGTGGAAGAGGCAGGGAGATTCTCAGATGGAGAGCTCTGGGTGATTTAGCTACTGCATCAGTCGGGATGGGCTAGGTTACGCCGAAGCAATATACAACCCCCAAATCTCGTTGGCTTAAAAAGCCGTCGGTTTATTTTTCACTTTACACTTTATGTCCACCATGGATTGCCAAGAACTTGGCTCCTTGACGTCTTTAGTTCAGAAGCCCAGGCTGACAACAGCAGCCACCAACCGATGCTTTGCCAATTGCCCAGGCAAAAAGGAGAGTTCGGCTTAATAGAGTACTCTTAAATGTCCAGCGAGAAGCTCTCAGAAGGAAAGACTCAAGTTTCATGTCTTGCTTGTAGCTAGGTGTGATCATGTCACTGGGCTCTAGTCAATGGGAAAAGTAAATAGAGCTAGAATATGCGTAACATACAGAAGTGTTCTTTTTTTTTAAAAAATATTTATTTATTTATCTTTGAGCGAGACAGAGTGTGAGCAGGGGAGCGGCAGAGAGAGAGAGAGAGAGAGAGAGAGAGAGAGAGAGAGAGGGAATTCCAAGCAGGCTCCATCCTGCCAGCACAAAGCCTGATGCGGGGCTCAAACTCACAAACCTTGCGATCGATCATGACCTGAACCGAAATCAAGAGTCGGATGCTTAACTGACTGAGCCACCCAGGCGCCCCCAGAAAGGTTCTTAAAGAAAGGGCATGCAATTCTTTGTCCCTTCTTCATTCTGCTGGTCTGAATAAAAGGATGAAGAAACAATGCTGGAGCTGGCACAGCCCCTGTGAATCATGTAGCGAATATAACTTACGGAGGAGTAAGTAACAAGGTAGAAGAATGAAGGTGGGTCCCCGAGTATCACAGAACCACCATACCTGCCATCTATCTGTTGCTTCGCCCCCGGCTGAATTTCAAAAGGGAAGTAAACTGCTGTTTTGGATTAACTGCCACAGAAAAAGCTTCTGTGAACCAATCCATGGTTTGGGACAGGAAAGGATGGGAATGGGCCAAGCATGAGCCGACATGGTATGGCAACGGAACAGTAGGTGTTGGATGCTCTGCCAGTTTAAATCAGCAGAAGCAACAACGCCGCGGGAGAAGCCTGCGGAGGAAATAGAAGTAACGTTTCTCTTTCCAACCCAATCGCTTCAAAAATCTTCAGATATGAAGTGAAGGCCAGTGCATCTCCTACTATCAGTGGGAGGCTTCCACTATTTTTATTGTAATCTCAGGGTCAAGGGTGATGTATCTTCTTTTCTTTCTTTACAGCTTTGAGAGCTCTGTGTGCAGATCGTGGTTCCTGAAGGTCAGAGGAACTCCTTCCGAATCAGCTGGTATGTCATTCACTCCCCTGAACATTTCTCCCCAGCAGGATGGCGGTCAGTCTCAAGATTGCTCAAGTAATTAAAAATGACACAAAGGAAAAATTGTGTCCAATATTATAATATTATCCAATTTGGCTTTACATTTATTGGAAATAAAGACGACGTACACTGGGAATGTGTTATTTGCAGGGAAGTGCTTGCAAGTACCTGTCTAGAAAATCTTTTTTTTTTGTCATTTATAAATAAAAATGTGAAAATTATAGACAGCCAGTCATGAAAACTGTTATTGATGGTGCTGCAGAAGGCACTTTGCATTGTGATCTTTATTTTGAACAGATTTGATTCTCAAACCAAAACACAATACCTGGTTTTTAGAATATACTGAATTAACTCCTATAGGATGGAATTCTAGAATTAGAATTGCGGAGCAGAAAGATATATTAACAGAGTTTGCCAAGTTAATTTCGTAAGTGCTGAAGTAATTCCAGTGCCCGTTGTTATTAACAATTTATAGGACCTCCAGCTTGGCTTTCTGTCTTCTGGCCCCCCTACTAGGACTGAGTGTAACATTCTTCTCAACTCTTTGCCACCTGTTGGGTGAAAAACATGTTAACTCATTGTTACTTTAATTGCTACTTCCCTAATAATTGTGAAGTTGAGCTCTTTTTTTCATTTGTCCATGAAAATCAGGATTTCCCCTTCTATAAAATGGTATTTTTATTCTTTGACTATTTTTCAATTGGACTATTTGTTCTTATATTATCAATTTACGGGAGTTCATTGAAGTGCCATGTCTAGGAATCTTTTATCCGACATATGTGCTTCAAAGATTTTTCGTAATCTGTGCTTTCTGATGTTGCTTATTGTCTTTTCTTGTCATGGTTTAAATATTTACATAGTCAAATGTTTCATTTCCCTTTGTTGTTGTTGTTGTTGTTTTTGATTGTCCCGGCTTGCTTAAGACATCCCCCAAACACACACACCACTGTCACAAATGCCAAGAACATACACATATTGTCATAGATTTTCTTCTAAGTAGTTATTCAATGCTTTTTAAAGATTTAATTTTCATGGAATTATTTCTTTATGTACGTATGTATTATTTTTTATGTATCTACCTTTTCCTCCCTGTTTGACAGGCAGCTTTGGATGGAACAATCTGTGTTTAAATAAACCTCCCTTTCTCCACTGATTTGTCATGGCACCTTTGCCGCACCTTAAGTTTCCTATTTGTGAATTTCTAGTATGTTTCAGTTACAGTGGCTTTATGTTAAAAAAAAAAAAGAAAAAAACAAATCTGACGAGGCAACATTGCCTCCTCACCCCTTCCCCATTAGGTATTATTTTTCAATAGAGGGTTCTTAGGTATTTTTTGACATTTATCCTCTACATGAAATGCAAGGGATTTTTGATGGTTGTCGTTTGTTGTTGTTCTGTTTTTTGTCTTTTGTTTTCTTTTTTTTTGTACCTTTTATGCTGGTCCTAAGGGGTACAGAATTGGACCGATTTGGTCAAGCATCCTGTTCAATGACGGGAGCATCAAACCCCGCATGTTCATGGTGGCTGGCCTTTCCCAGCACTCCCAGAAAGTGACCGTTGGGACGTGTTTGTTGCAGGGTTCCAGGCAAAGGGCGCTGCTGGAGCGGGGGGGGAGGGTGCAGGGTGCCATGCAGCTGAGGTCAAAGGGTACATTTTACTCTGGAGGGTGCCTCCTAATTCACACAAAAGCCCCATCTTAGCAGCGGCAGCCCCGGGCCAGAACTGCCTGAGAACGGTGGGTCCACCCTACTCGAAGCTGCGACAGCTGCAGTCTGCCTGCTGCTCTTTTAGCCCTCAGGGAATGGCTTGGCTTCAGCTTCCGGCCGCCTGTGGGCTCACTCCCGGGATTGAATCCCAGCTCCGACTTCCTGAGCTCCTGGTGAGCTGGATCTCCTCACTTTCACAGTAGGTGACCACTGCTCCATTCTCTGCTGCATCTCAGCCTAGGACACACTGTCACTTGCTTGAGTTGTTCCGGTGGCCTTCACGCGTCTGCGGTTGGTTCTCAGCTCAGCAGCCAGAGCAAGGCATTCGTTCGTTCATTCATTCTTTCATGCCTGAGAGAGGGAGACAAAGAGAGTCCCAAGCAGGCTCCAGCCTCAGCGCAGAGCCTGACATGGGGCTCGACCTCACGAACCACAAGACCGTGACGTGAACCGAAACCAAGAGTCGGACGCTTAACTGACTGAGCCACCCAGGTGTCCCAGTCACACATCTTTCTAATTTACTAACTGCCACCCTTGAAAACTTGGAAGAACCCTGAAAGTTTACTGTTTTTTAAAGTTGATTCATTTATTTTGAGGGGGTGGGGGAAAAGTAGAAGGAGGGCAAGAGAGGATGTTAAGCAAGCTCCATGCTGAGCATGGGCTGAATCTCACGAACCACGAGATCATGACCTGAGCCGAAATCACGAGTAGAATTCTCAACTGACGGAGCCACCCAGGTGCCTCTAGAGCGATCCTTTTAAACTGAAGCGTTGGCTTGTATCTGAATCTCACCGGAGCCCTTGCACCCGATCCAGAGTCAAAGTCCATCTCCTCAAGGGCAACAAGGTTCCTTCTGATCAGCGCCTGTCACCTCTCTGACCTCACTCCTTTTGCTCTGCCTCTCAACGAGTTAGTTGTTCATTCATCAAATATCTGTCGAGTGCCTACTTGTATCTATATGTGCCAGGCACTGTTACAGACACTTGGGACACTTCAGTGGACAAACACGCGTGTGAGAGAGAGGAAGGACTAGTCTCTTGGCTGTTCCGTGAACTTGCTACCACGTGGTGGCCTCAGGCCTGAACACGGGCTGTTCCTCCGCCTGGACTGCCCTTGCCCAGAAATCCACATGTCTTATGTTTTCACCTGCTTCATGTTTTTCTTCACATGTCACCTGCTAGCAAGGCCTTCCCTGACTGCCCTATCTACAATCTCCAACTGTCCGGCACTTAATATCTCCCCCCAGCTATTCACTTCTCCATGACTCTTAATTTCCTCTAATAGACTTTATATTTTATAATATCTAGACATTTAATTTATGTCTGTTGCATTTCCCCCACCATTACCCAAATAGGGTGAGCTGGATGGTTTATTCCCTGTCATGCGAGTGCCTTGAACAGTGCCTGGCACAGAATGGGACTCTGGAAATATTTTCTGGATAAAGGAAAGGATGCACGAAAAGGAAGAACCTTGAGAAGGTTATTGACCTTTTTGTGCTTCCTTTCCATTTTCTAAAAATTAAGGAGTGTAATGGTCACTAACTGACGGGCTTGTTAAAAAGGTTTAATGAGGGGTGCCTGGGTGACTCAGTTGGTTAAGCGTCCGACTTCAGCTCAGGTCATGATCTTGTGATCTGTGAGTTCGAGCCCCGCGTCGGGCTCTGTGCCGACAGCTCGGAGCCTGGAGCCTGCTTTGGATTCTGTGTCTCCCTCTCTCTGCCCCTCCCCCACTCATGCTCTGTCTCTGTCACTCTCAAAAATGAATAAATGTTAAAAAAAAAAGTTAAAAAAAAAAAGGTTTAATGAAATAGTACCTCTAGGGGTCCCAGGCTGCCTCAGTCGGTGGGGCATGCGATTCTTGGATCTTGGGGCTGTGAGTTTGAGCCCCACATTGGGTGTAGAGATTACTTAAAAATAAAATCTTTTTAAAAACATTTTTTTAATGTTTATTTATTTTTGAGAGAGAGAGAGAGAGAGAGAGAAAGAGAGAGAGAGAGACAGAGCATGGGTGGGGGAGGGGCAGAGAGAGAGGGAGACACAGAATCCAAAGCAGGCTCCAGGCTCTAGGCTGCTGGCACAGAGCCCGATGCGGGGCTCGAACCTACAGATCACGACATCATGACCTGAGCCAAAGTCAGACACCCAACTGACTGAGCCACCACCCAGGCGCCCCAAAAATAAAATCTTTAAAAAAACATCCAGTACATCTAAAAGTGCTTAAAGCAGTACTTGGCACATATTAGAGTTCTCGAAATGTAGTTTATTACTGTTGTTTTTGCTTCCCAGTCCCTTATATCCACATCGTGTATGTACTGTGTGCACAGACAGTTCAGGATTCATACTTTTTATCTCTTATAGTACCTGTGAACACTGCATGGTATTGTTTTATGTGCTTTCAAAATTTACTGCAACAGCACTGTCAACAATAGCCAATTATGGAAAGAGCCCCCATGTCCACTGACTGACAAATGGATAAAGAAGATGTGGTATGTATATACAATGGAATATTACTTGGCAATCAAAAAGAATGAAATCTTGCTGTTTGCAACAACATGGACGGAACTAGAATATATTATGCTAAGGGAAATGAGTCAGAGAAAGATAACTATCCTATGATTTCACATGTAGGTGGAATTTTACGAAACAAAACAGATGAAACATAGGGAAAGGGAAGCAAAAATAAGATAAAAACAGAGAGGGAGGCAAACCGTAAGAGACTCTTAAATACAGAGAACAAACTGAGGGCTGCTGGAGGGGAGGTGGGTGGGAGAGTGGGCTGGATGGGTGATGGGCATTAAGGAGGGCGCTCGTAGGGATGAGCACCGGGTGTTACGTGTGAGTGATGAATCACGAAATTCTCCTGAAACCATTCTTTCACCGTATGTTAACTAACTTGGATTTACATAAAAAATAAATAAGATCAAGTCCTCCCCACCGCCCCCCCCCAACATTGACTGCAACAGTATTAGGCATTGGTTTTTGAGACTCATTTATGTTGCAATATATAATCTAGTTCTTTCCTCTTAATGGCTATGTAGGTTTCTGCCAAGGGAACTTAGCGTCTTACCAATATAGACAGTATTAAAGGGTCTTTTGTGTAGGTCTTTTTGTGCACATCTCATCCCAAATGTGCAAGAGTTTCTCAAGGAGGCATCCAAAAAGTGGAAATGCTGGTTTTGCCTGCTGTGCTCCATTTGCCCTCTCCCATCCATTCTCCATCCTTCCTTGGCTGCTCTGTCCGGGGATGCTGTTCCCTGGAGACGGCCCCATCCACCGCCTTCCCGTTGGGTCTGGCCAGTGGAGGCTCTGGCAGGAGATTAGAGGGCAGAAAGGAAGGGTCCGGGTACTTTTTCATGACCTCTTTCTTTGTCCCCGTGCTTCATGTCTGGCCGTAGGTCTGTCCTTCCCTCTGGGCATCTCCTCCTCACCTGTTCCGGCTGTGCCGGAGCCCCAGCACCTCTGTTGTCTCTCCTGGTCCAAAGAGGCCTAAACAAGGTTGACGGGTTCCCACCGTTGCAGGTTTCTGGGTACCTCACCATCCATTGTTTCCTTCACCTTGCCTGTTCCTGCCCAAGGAGTCACCTCAGAAAGCGTCCTTCATTCGAACATTTGGGATAAATTACTTTGTACCACATGGCACCACATGCACACATTGGCTTCATGGGACGTGCTTTAAAATCTAAGTTTTACTTTAACACACACACCCTCCCTCTCTAGTTTTGTAAAGTCAAATAGCACTAAAAAGTTTATGATGGAGTGGGGCGCCTGGGTGGCGCAGTCGGTTAAGCGTCCGACTTCAGCCAGGTCACGATCTCACGGTTCGTGAGTTCGAGCCCCGCGTTGGGCTCTGGACTGATGGCTCAGAGCCTGGAGCCTGTTTCCAATTCTGTGTCTCCCTCCCTCTCTGCCCCTCCCCCATTCATGCTCTGTCTCTCTCTGTCCCAAAAATAAATAAACGTTGAAAAAAAATTAAAAAAAAAAAAAGTTTATGATGGAGAGCAGGAATCACTTTCCTTCTTTCTCATCTCCTTTCTCTCTTTTGGCTCTCCAGAGGCCACCATATTCAACTGTTTTTATCTCTCTGATGACTGATGATGCAGAGCATCTTTCCATATGTTTATTGGCTGCTTACGTATCTTTTTTAAAATTTAATTAGTAGATTCGTCAAGGTGTTAACTTTTGGATTAACGGAATGCCATTTTGACTCCAAACTCATCTGGCCGGAAAGACACAGAAAGTTGTCTTTGCACTGCTGACTCTGAAACAGTGTCTTCTGCCATCGCTTCAGGGACGGAGATTGGTTAGCTCCAACAGCGGCCGGTGCCCGTAGCCCGGACAGGGGAAAGCCTGCTGACCTCCGACTCACACTTGCATGGGCCCCACGCGAGTTTGCCGACTTCTGGCCGAGGCACGGACTTGAGCCGCAACCCTGATAACTCTTTAAGGGG